ATATGATAATATAATATAATAAAATATATAATATAATATGATAATATAATATAATATGATAATATAATATAATAAAATATATAATATAATATGATAATATAATATAATATGATAATATAATATAATAAAATATATAATATAATATGATAATATAATATAATATGATAATATAATATAATAAAATATATAATATAATATGATAATATAATATAATATGATAATATAATATAATAAAATATATAATATAATATGATAATATAATATAATATGATAATATAATATAATAAAATATAAACAATATAACTTTAGAGTCCCAAAATTTTGTCAGACAAGAAGATCGGTCGAATTAAATATTTAAATTTTTACTGAATTTTTAATTTAGATGTTCGACTTAACCAAGCTTTAATTTGGCAAAGTTAAAAACAGACAGTTGGTGAAAGTTGCGAGGGACCTGAGGTATCAGCTTCGCGAGGTCACTTTTTGACCACACATTTCGTGTCACACGGTGGTGTCGCGGTTTTCCTGTCACGATCGACAGACAGGTCGTCCTTCGTGAGTCGTCTTCGCAGTAGAGTAACCTAATACCCGGAATATTTTTCACAGGCGATCAATTCTTCACTACCAGAGAGACAATTACGTTTAATCACGATTTTCGACGATGAGTTCTTCCCCTCCTGAAGAAGCCTGAGGCTCGTCTAGATTCTTGCAAAAATCTTCCCCGAAATCATCGAGGAAATTCGTCGAAGTTGTACTAGATCAATGCTGACGAACAGAGCCAACACGCACCGCTCTTAATTTACATCGCGTTCACTCCCCAACTCTTATAAATCCCTCGTTACAAATTACCAGCCATCGATTTGCTTGCTATCGCTGAGTAAATACGGTAACACGCGTCGCACGCCGGATGAGTGAAAAATCGCAAACTTTCTGCTGGTCGTTTTTAAAGACCAAAGGCGTATTTATAATGTCAATATAACGTGCACGTGGCGCGTATAGGCTTGGATAAACGTTGTACAATGGGAAGTTATGAAAGCGTGCTTAATGCGTGTTCAATGTCGAGACAGCGAGAGAGAGAGAGAGGAGGAAGAACCAAGGCGAAGCGATGGTTCTAAATACAACTTCAAGAATGATGCGTGCCTGTCTGCCTTTTCTAGCCGCCATCGGGCAAATGGCGTGTGACTGCGGCCAAACAGCCGAGAAATTACGCGAATGTACCCGGATTGTAGGGCTCGTGAGAATTACGATTTCTTGGGCATGCTCGGAGAATTCTCACGGCTCTCTGCACGGCGCATCATCTCGTGCAAAAGAGAGAAAGAGAGAGAGAGAGAGAGACACTTACGTACGTACGTATGCACACGATGATCGTGTAATCGAGCGAGTACGTCGACCCCTCCATCGCAATTTTCATTCTCAGTTTCACTTTTATTTTCTTTACCGTTGAAAATGAAACGACCTCGAATTTTGAAAGTTACTTTCGGCTTTTAACCACGAGAATTTTTGTCTCCCAAATTGCAACATTTTCTTAGTTCTGTGTATATTTAATCGTAACCGGAGGACAAAACAAATGATAAGTATGTAAGCTTCTTAATAATTATTTTCTATCCAGTGACAGTCATCGCCGACGGGGCACAAAGGGAAAAGAAAGCGACGAATTATTGTGTACGGTTTCGGTCGCTCGTTATGGTCCGCGTACCAGTTGCCAGCGCAAGGGGTTAATTTAATTAAAACAGGCAGCATTCTTAGTGTTTAGGACGATCATCCAAGGGGATTCGAATGAAAAGAAAAAAAAAAAAATACCTTTTTTTCTTTTTATACCCGAAGGAGTTTTGGTTTTTTAGATTTTTTTTAGACAGAGTCTTCGAAGGTTTGGGTCACAAAGAGAGTCCCTGAACATTTACATCGACGCAAGAGTGATTCTAAACTTCCGAGAAAGTGAAATCTGCCGGAGAGATATCTGGGGAATAGGGAACGCGAGGGACGCATTATGACCCAATCTGAATTTTTACGAGAAAATAGTAGTATGAGTTTGCAGGATGGTGAGCGTATTGGGAAACGAATAGAATTCAAAATTTATTAAAACAAGACACCTTTACCGAATGCACAAATACAGGGTATTATATTATACTATATTATATGAGTATTGTATTATATTATATTATATGAGTATTGTATTATATTATATTATACTATATAATATAATATACTATATAATATTATATTACATGAGTATTATATTATATTATATAATATTATACTATATTGTATTATATCATATTATGTTATATTACATTATATAGTATTATATTATATGAGTATTATATTATATTATATTATGTTGTATTGTATTGTATTGTATTGTATTATATTATATTATATTATGTTATATTGTATTGTATTGTATTATATTGTATTATATTATATTATATTATATACAGTATTATATGTATATATTGCAAAAAGCTTTCTTAAGAAAAGAAATGAAATGAAATCAAAAATTCATTTAAACAACACCTTTACTAAATGCTTAAATACAGGATGGTGAGCAGATTGAAAAAAGCGTATAAAAAAATAAAATAAAATTCAAAATTTACTAAAGGAAGAATGCAAGGTAGTAAACACGTTGAAGAAGGCTAAAGAAAAGTTTAGAAATCAAATAGAATCTAAAATTCGTTAAAAAAACATCTTTGCTAAATGCCCAAATACAGGATGGTAAAACACATTGAGAAGGAAATTCAAAGTTCATTAAAAAAACAGCTTTTACTTTTTGGTCAACCAGACATAGGGTGGAGCAAAAAATCACTTCCTACTAAAATATAAGTAATTTTTTTTATTATGCACTTTCTTTAATTTTTGAGAGAAACAACTTTCAAAATATAATGGGAGAATCTTGTTTGAACTTAGATCTAATTTAAAATTAACGTAACTAGTTTTTTCTTATATTGTTTCTGATGAAACAAGTGAAACTTCTGTCTAACCCGGAAGACGTAGATATTCCACTTGACAAAACTGAAACTACCAATGTCAAAAATGACTAATTTATAATCATCGTTAGATGCAAAACAACATACATTTATTTTATTTAATTCGTAAAATGTACGAACAGAAGCTTGTACACTCCGCTTGTATTAAAGTACACTCTCTATTTTTTGGATTTCAATGCCCAATGAGTTCTAGCGTCGACACAAGATTAGTTTCCACAGTTGACGTTAAAATTAACATCTCACATAATATCGTCTAACCGTCGTGAGATTCTACGTCTAATCGTTCGAGTATCAATTAATCGAGACGAAACCTCTCAGCATTCATTGTCCCACTGACTCGTCTGGATCATTGCACCGAGATAAGCACCGCGGTTAATTCTCAAGCAATTCAGCCGTGTTCCTGCCACAATTGCGATCGTCTCTCAAAGCATTAATTGATTCGTCATTCGATAGAACACGTACGGGGCCTACACACTTGACGACGCTTGAAATTGTAGATACATATCGTAGATAGAACGGTTATTGATGCCCGCAGTGTCTCGCGTGTCCCTCGAGAGTGGTAACTCCGCGAACAAAGAACGTCATCGACGTTGTATCAGAGGTAGAGGTACACTTTCTGACGATCGACGACGACGACGACGAACGAAACATCCTACCGATCTCTCCTGGCGTCGATCGTGCTGCCTCGACGTAGTTAATTGAAGCAATTAAAAGCAGCCTCAGCTCGCCACGGATCGTCCTCGCGTTCGTTAATCGGAGGGATCGTGGGTGTGCTCGAGAAGAGGTTGTGTATCGCGAGTCGAGCAACGTGTAATCATTGGGACAGGCTTCTACATAGTAGAAGCTTCCACGTAGAGTCGAGTAGTCTCCACGTTCCGCAACATCCCGGAAGACGAGAGAGATACGGAGTAGACACGCCTAATCTGGGATTAGATGGCCAAACCATCCTACGAGCTACGATTTATTTCCAGACCGGGATAGTCGAACGTCTGTTTCTTTTTCTTTTTTCTCTTTGTTCTACGACTGTCGATTTAAAACGACACGAAACTGTTTTAGACGACAGGTTGCTGGAATTACTATAATTCCGGTTGTTTTTTTTTTTTTTACACACATGTTTATAAATAAGATAACATTACATGGAAAAATTGGTACGACGAGTAATACACGTAATACAAAAATTGGTATTGTATACAAAATCAATGGAAATTCCTTTTCTGGAAATTTTTTTTGCTTACATTTTTACCTGGATGTTATATTGACAATGTATCTATCTATGAATCTTGAGATATGTAATTAAATTATGTGGTTGTAAGTATACTTTGAGATATATTAAATTATGTAGGTATAAGTATATATATATATATATATATATATATATATATATATATATATATATATATATAATTAGATTGTGAATTTCTGTTGAATAATAAATATCTATACGATTATATATCATATGATTATATTATAATATCATAATTGAATTGTAGTATAAAAATCTAATTTTACAAATAATTTACATCTAGTACAAAATTAAATTCACTTTAGAACAACAGAGTCTCATTGAAGTCAATTTTTCTGTAAATTCATCTACAACTTCATTCCTCTATTTGTACTTCAGACTTCATTTCTCTTCATTTGAATTATATGGAAACGCTTAGAACATTCTTTCTAATATTTGAAGTTTATAAAGACGATGTGTATTACAATAACTACGTATAAATCTTGAGATGTGATAATTGAATAATAAATATCTATCTGTTTAAGTCATAACTGAATATAATCTATATTAATTATGTAAATAATTTGTACCAAATACATCAAAATTAAAGTCAATTTATGAGATAAGAGATACTAAATGTCTCATTGAAATCAATAATGAGATTCCTCTTTCTGGGATATTCACCTATAATTTTATCTAGATTTCATTCTTCTAATATTGTATCTCAGATTTCATCACTCTATTTGAATTATGAAACGCATAGAGTATTCTTTCTTGTATCTGAAGTTTGTAGAGAAAATATATACTATACTATATTATATACTGCAATATTATATTATATATTACAATCTATAAATTTTATATAAATATTATAAGGTAAATAAATTTTATATAAATTTGTAAGACGCACAATTAAATAATTACAAATCTTGGGAAAACGTCGAATAAACAAATATCTATGTCTTTAAATCACACGTATACCACAATTGAATATATTTAATTATATTATTACATTGTTCACGATATAAAAATTTAATTGTACAAGTAACCTACATCAAATGCACCAAAATTAAATTTAGTTTAGAGAATAATGTCTTGTCAAAAAAATCGACGAAGAAATTTCCTTTCTGTAAATAACCGTTACCGACATTGTTTTTAAGCCGAGTTCCCCTATCTGCCTTATTGTTATTAATTCGTTTAGGAACAATTTGGTGAAAACTTACCAGAGAAACTGAGCGCTGCTGAAGCTTGAGTCCGAGGTCCTCTTTCCCGTCCCCACAGTCGGTCGTATAAAACAGCACGCTTTTCTTCGATCCCCTGAAATCAAAGCTGTTTTCAACATGCCATCTGCAGAACGATTGGAACTACCGCTTTGGAGTTGTAATTACACAACGTCGGGAACGTCGTAATTTATCCAATTACGATACGAACGATCTGTTTGCTTATACCACAGACGTTCCATCGTATTTAATCGTTCCCCTTCAACACATTTGTTCAACGATAATTACACTGGTGATGCTCTCCACTCTGTTGAAAATATTCTGCGCTTTTTCATTCGAAACTCCTCGCTTCCGAAGAGGCTGTAATCTCTTAAAGTTACTGTATTTCTACAGTTCTTTTTTTTTTCGAAATGAAACAATAACATGCAACACACGTACAATTAACGTTTCGCTAATTTGATTGACGAAGTTTCGTGAATTTTAATCACGGAAAGAAGGAGAGAATTGGGTCGGAAATGACGAGTTACTACGGCGGCACACGGAAATGAATATCATTTGAAATTTGTAACGCGTCTAATTGATTAAACACAGTTGCCAAATTGAATTCTCCACGACGGAAATACTTCACTCTCGACACGTTGAATGCGATAGGGGCACCGAAGATCAGTAAAAATACATAATTCATTTATTCATCGAAGATCAGTTTCAGAAACGTGAATGTTGATGATACATTCCAAATTTTTCGATATTAGCTTCGTTATTATAACGATGTGATATATAAATTAATAATAACTATAAATATATAAATAATAAATAAATAATAATTATAAATATGTAAATAATAAATATATAATTATAAATATATATATAATAAATAAATAATAATTATAAATATGTAAATAATAAATATATAATTATATATATACAAATAATAAATAATAATTATAAATATATAAATAATAAATAAACAATAATAATTATAAATATATAAATAATACATAAATAATAATTATAAATATGTAAATAATACATACATAATAATTATAAATATGTAAATAATAAATAAATAATAATTATAATAATATATATAAATAATACATAAATAATAATTATAAATATGTAAATAATAAATAAATAATAATTATAAATATATAAATAATACATAAATAATAATAATAAATATATCGGTTTGTGCAACTCTCAATTTTGCTATATAATGAAAATAAAATCGTCATAAAGAATAAGTGAAAATCGAAGGAACCCCAATAAAAATAAATCCATTAAACATTACGTTTATATTTAATACGTTTCAACTTATCCGTTGCGGATAATATTTCAACATCACACCTAATGGAGTATAGTAAGAAATTCAGCGTGGCATTCGGCATGTTACCGAGATGAGTACGTCCCTGATAAATTACAACAGCTTTCCAAATTATGGCTGGCTCGCGAGTCGTGAGTGAAATTGATAATAATATTGACGTTAATTTTAATGTTAACGCTTGTAACTTATTGTATTAATGTTAAACTGCTAATATTAACTGTCCTGCCTCCTTAACGCGAGTGTTACGTGTCTGTTTGAATAGAACTTGGAAAAGCAACCAGCGTGAAAGTTTCATCTGTCGTTGGTCGTGATGAACCGCGATGATAACGGCGAGTGAACGATTATTTAAATGCGTGCTACGAAAGTTGCTACGAAAAGTTGACGAATGATTAACTGAAAGTTATGGCGCGAGCGAGGTCTTTCAGATTTCTACTCTTCAATTACGGGCGATAAATCATCGGAACAGGGCCGCTGCATACGCCCGTTCTTGTCGCGTGCAATTAAACGGGGAACGAGTAATATAATACACGGTGGTGGTATAGGCTGCGTTTATGATAATCACACCTGAGTGCTTTCCCATTCCGGTTGAATAGCTGATGTTCAGCGAGCACGGGCGAATCGATGTAGCACCGGCCCTCGTTCATAGCGGCAACATCAGCAACGGCAGCAACATTTCAATGTTACGTCAATTTGTCCGCTGCGTTAACATCTGAAAACAGATAGAACAACACTTGACACACACACACACACTTTTCTCTGCCTTCTTTGTGAATTAATACTAGAACTATCAAAGTGATCAAAATGACTAATTAATAATTTTAATTTTAAATTTAATTTATAATATTGTAATTTAATTTAAATTTCATTGATAATATTGTAATTTAATTTAAATTTAATTTATAATATTGTAGGTCAATTTAAATTTAATATATAATATTTCAATTCAATTTAAATTTAATTTATAATATTGTAATTTAATTTAAATTCAATATATAATATTATAACTCAATTTAAATTTAATTTACAATATTGTAATTCAATTTAAATTCAATATATAATATTTTAATTCAATTTAAATTTAATTTATAATATTGTAATTCAATTTAAATTTAATTTATAATATTACAATTCAATTTAAATTTAATTTATAATATTACAATTTAATTTAAATTTAATTTATAATATTGTAATTCAATTTAAATTTAATTTATAATATTACAATTTAATTTAAATTTAATTTATAATATTGTAATTCAATTGAAATTTAATATATAATATTTTAATTCAATTTAAATTTAATTGATAATATTGTAATTCAATTTAAATTTAATTTATAATATTATAATTGAATTTAAATTTAATATATAATATTATAATTGAATTTAAATTTAATATATAATATTATAATTGAATTTAAATATAATACATAATATTTTAATTCAATTTAAATTTAATTTATAATATTATAATTGAATTTAAATATAATATATAATATTATAATTCAATTTAAATTCAATTTATAATATTATAATTCAATTGAAATTTAATATATAATATTTTAATTCAATTTAAATTTAATTTATAATATTTTATAGATTATATACATGTACATGTATATTATAAAGATAAAAAATGAATGAACTTGTTTCTATCCAGAACAGACTTAATTTCGACAAAAATTGAAGAAAATTAAAAAAAAAAAAAAGAAGATCTGAAATCCGTCATATCGACGAGTTCTGTTGTTTCTAAAATTATTCGACCGTATATCTAGGTTGTGTTTTACGCCTTTCAATATTATAAAACGTAAAATTAGAGGGAAAAAGAAATGGTTCCGACCGGAATCGAACCGGCGATCTTCTGCGTGTAAAGCAGACGTGATAACCACTACACCACGGAACCTTGACAAAACGATTGGTCCCGCATTATAAACCGGTAATTATTATTAAATTATAAAAAAACATTATATGTATCTTATCGATTACGGACGTCGTTACCAAACTGCGAATGTTTACACATTTTTGAGAATTTTAAGCCTCCAGAAATCTGCAAAATTCAATGCTCAAAGTACATTCATCCCTCAGGGAAGGAGTTGTTTCAACCAGAGACTGAAAACCGAAATATTTTGAGGTATTATACCGGTAAACTGAAACCGAAATATTGTTAGGTTTAGGTATTATACCGGTAAACTGAAACCGAAATATTGTTAGGTTTAGGTATTATACCGGTAAACTGAAACCGAAATATTGTTAGGTTTAGGTATTATACCGGTAAACTGAAACCGAAATATTGTTAGGTTTAGGTATTATACCGGTAAACTGAAACCGAAATATTGTTAGGTTTAGGTATTATACCGGTAAACTGAAACCGAAATATTGTTAGGTTTAGGTATTATACCGGTAAACTGAAACCGACATATTGTGAGGTTTAGGTATTATACCGGTATTTGGGAAATCGGTTTTAATACCGGTATATACCGGTATGGTACCACTTTACTGACGAAAACCCATTTTTTCATTTTCTACGTACAGTGACTCTTATTAATATTCGGACATCGTGCTATTCAAAATATTGTTGTGGATTTCGATTGTTTATAATAGTAAATTTGGATTAATTTTTTAATAATATAACAAAACATTCATTATAGTTTATAGTAACATAAATTTTATTTATTTATTGCACATACTTTTCTTAATATCAAACAATAAACTG